TCACAAAATCAATTTCACAACCTGGGCCAGGTCAATTTCACCAGTGTTGGTCTATTCCAGAGGTGGGTTGATACCTGTTCACACCAGTTTGGTGAACCGGTAGTGGAAATTGCAACTGGGTCGCCGAACCAGTAAGGACAGCAGACTTGCAACGCCCCCAAACTGGTACCCTGGTAGCGGCAGCATGGTTTTTTTTTTTTTGGGGGGGGGGGCATTTTTAATGTTCTGCGCATGGGGAGACCTATTTACAGGCAAGTGCGTGGGAGAACCGAACCGGCAGTAACGCCGGCAGCAACACATCCCTGGTCTATCCAACGGCACAGCTAAGAGGCGGCTTTTGTTGGTTTTTAAAGCTTGCCTTTAAAAGGAAATGAAAATTTCTCTAGCTTCCGAAGAACCGGAAACAAGCAAATTCTATATCCTTATACTGGATTTATTCCCCATCCTGGCAGCCAATTTTCATTTTTCAGGATCAGGGTTCAAATCTCTTGGATTTTGTTTCCCCACCCACCCCCTCCAGGGTCCAAAACTCCTGGGACCAAAAAGGCACAATGCACAGTTTCCCCCAAGACTTGCAAAGTGGCTGTTTCAGGTTTCTAGTCCTCAGGACTGCCATGAATTTGGGAGGTCTCCATTTTGGGGTTGAATCTTTAAGGTTGGTTCGGCAGCCCAGAACACCAGATAGTTTTCTCAAGCGATTCTCTGTCTCTGACAAAGATGGCTCAGTCTGCCTCCTCTGGCCAGTTGCATTCTGGGAATACTTCCTTTCCTTTTTTAAAAAGGGGGGGGGGTCTACATTGATTCCATCACTTCCAGTCTTCAGGCCCCCTTTCACCTCTAACAGCCGCTGGGCAAGCTCTGAAGAATGGCCTCTAGGTTCCCCTTGTCACTCTGGATCTCCGCCAGATCTTCTTCGAAGGCTTCCAGCGATGCCTTCTGCTCCTCGGCTTCCTGTACCAAGATGCCCAGGGTCTCATTCAGGGCTCCAGGTCCCGCCAGACGCAGCCTCAAGCTTGCCAGCTGGACCTGGCTCGCACGGAGCACAGCTGCGGACCCATCCAGGTTTCCTGGGGAAGCAAAACAGAGCGTTGGCACTAGGGCTGGGGGGGGGGACGGCACCCCCAAAATCACAGCTCCAACCTCAGCCCTGCTAAGCAGAGCAGAGCAGGAAGTCAACTCCACGGCAAGAGCGGATCTCTTCTGGTTTGAGTTTGGCTGTCGTTAACGATTCTGATTGTGCTGGACTTCGTCCCACCCGCCCCTCATATGCCTTGTGAATTAGGAAGGTCATCTGCCTGAGCTTCTTAATTACAGATTAACAGAGTTGGAAGGGACCTCGTGGGTCATCTAGTCTCCTTCACCCAAGCAGGAGACCCTACACCGTTTCTGGCAGAGGGCAGTCCAGTCTCTTCTTGAAAGCTTCCAGTGATGAGGCTCCCACAACCTCCGGAGGCAACTTATGTGCTACGCTTAGGCCTGACCAGAGTGTAATACACAAAATTATCTCTCACAACGTCCTACCCGTCAATGACCACTTCAGCTTCAACCACAGTAACACACACGGGGGCAAACAATCGATGCAAACTCCAGGTAAACTCGATTGCAGAAAATACGACTTCAGCCACAGAGAGTCAACGCCTGGAATGCTCTACCCCTCTCTGTTGTTAATTTTAGGCATAACAAATTAGGGGATAATTTCTTCAGTTTATTAATTAAAGCAGGCTAGATTACACAGTTTTGGCACTGAGAAACCAACGTTGAGGAAGAAGCATCATAGACTGTTCCAAGAATCCCAAAGTGATTTAATTTAATTTAAAAAAAGAAATCTTTATGGAAAGAAGAGTCTGCCCCCTAGTGGAACTGTCTGGAAATGCTGAAAGCTCAACCATGGAACAGGTGTATTGATTCCTTGCCAGGTAAAAGCTAAATCCACAGGTATGTTTGACCAACCCTCCCTGGGATGCCTTTTCAATGCCTATTTTAACACCACTTGCTTAATCACCAGCTAGTAAACACACAGATAAAGGTAAAGTTTCCCCTCGCACATACATGATAGTCGTTCCCGACTCTAGGGGGCGATGGTGCTCATCTCCGTTTCAAAGGCCAAAGAGCCAGCGCTGTCCGAAGGCGTCTCCGTTGCTCATGTGGCCGGCATGACTCAATGCCGAAGGCGCACAGAAGGCTGCTCCCTTCCCACCAAAGGTGGTCCCCATTTTTCTACTTGCATTTTTGACATGCTTTTTAACTGCTAGGTTGGCAGAAGTTGGGACAAGTCGCGGGAGCTCCCTCCGTTACGCGGCGCTAGGGATTGGAAATGCCGACGTTTCTGATCGACAAGCTCAGCGTCTTAGCCCCTGAGCCACCGCGTCCCTCTAATACACAGGTTGACGTTGACTTAAAACTATTTGTTTACTGTCTGTTCAGAGTTGCAACGGCACTGAAAAAAGTGACCAATGACTGGTTTCACACTTACGACCGTTGCAGCATCCCCGCGGTCACGTGATCAAAATTCAGACCCTTGGCAAGTGACTCATATTTATGAGGGTCGCAGAGTCCTCGGGGTTACGTGATCCTCTTTTTTGCGACCTTCTGACAAGCAAAATCAAAGGGGAATCCAGATTCACTGAACAACCATGTTATTAACTTAACAACCATGACAGGAAAGGTTGTAAAATGTGGCAAAACTCGGTTAACAAATGTCTCGCTTTGTCACATAAGTTTTGGGCGGCATTGCGGTCGTAAGTGAAGGACGTACGACCTGGGGTCACGGAAGAAGGGATGCTTGGACCGGGCTAATCCTGGTTACTTCGAGGGGGCCGTGAACGGAGGACTCACCTAGTTTGGAGAGCAGATGCTGGAGGGCCTTAATATCCATCTCCAAGGATCGTTGGGCCGCTTGGAGGTTCTGGCCGAGCGTCTTCATGCCCACTGCAGCCTTCGACACAAGACGGGCTTTGCGTTAGCCTCCTCCCACGGGTCCCTCTCTTGAAGGCCACAAGGGTTTCCCGCCATCCAGGTCACGGTTGTCCCTTTTTCCAAAAGGCAACTGGACTTTGTTTCCCCCCGAAGACATTTCACTCCTCCCCCCAGAAGCTTCTCCCGTTCTGATGAACTGAACTTTGACCTAGAACTGAACTTCGGTCAGAGCGGAAGAAGCTTCTGGGATGAGGAGTGAAATGTCTTCGGGGGGAAACAAAGTCAAAAGGCACTTTGGGGCCATCCCTCTCCGGTTCTACCAGGACTGACCTCCGCAGGTTTCCCAAGTTGGGCCTGAAGTTCTCTGGCCTTGTCTTCTTGCCTGGAAATCTCGGTAACCACGGTGAGAGCAACCGTGGCAGACATTCGGCTAGCCTGCTTCCTCTCCTCCTTGGCCCGTCTTAGGACCCCTTCGGCCGCCTGCAGAACGGAAGAGTGAAAAAGAAACGGAGGAGAAGGAAGGAAGCCATAAAGCTGCCCTCATGCCACTCGATCGACAGGCTCAGCGCCTTCACCACGGACACACCGCCTCCTAACACAGCCCCACCTGGGCATTCTTCCTGGCGGCCGATTCCCCCTCACGAGCAACCGCGAAGGCCTTTGCGGAAACGGTCCCGGAATTCCCCAGGGCTTTCTGGGCCTGCCTGATCTTCCTCTGGGTCTCCACAATCGTCCGGCCACGCACCGCAACCCGCTTCCTCCTGACCGCAGCGCGGCCTTTAGGGTCTGCCATCAGGGCCTTTATTCCTGCCAGCAAAAGGAAAAACCAGTTACCCTGCTTCAAGCTGGATAAAATTACATCCCTTTATGTTCTGACCGAGGCTTCCCAAGAGCCTGAAGGAGACTCCTGGTCCCGACAAAAAAACCCTTTTATTCATTGAGTGTGAATTCTGCTCCTTCACCTCCAGCAAAGTCTTTCAAGGGAGGATTTACAGTCACAGACCTTCTCTGGCTTGGAGAGCTGCCAGGCCGAGATCTACAGAACTTGGCCAGGAGTCTTGGAGAGTCAGGAACCAATGAATTGAACTAATTGTCTCCTGCAAACTCCACTCCCCCTTTGCTCCTCTTTTATTCCCTCAC